CTTAATCGAAGTTTTTGGATATATGTTGTACACTAATATTTTTTATATTTTCAGATGATTCCATGAACCCTTTTTCAAGTTAATTAAGAAACTAATGATTACACAAAACAATACGAATGGGACGACCAACGACGTCGCATAGGGACGTAATTGGCGCATTAAAGATTTCATAGGTCGGCATAAAAAGACAAGAATAATTTGATACTGTAAATGATAATACCCTAGTGTTGTCACGTTTCTATATGATTTTAGGAAGAAAATAACGTAAGATCAATCTGAGCTAATGTAAGTTGAGGCTGTGGACTATATCGTTGATATAAAGAGACATCAATCTATTTATAAACAAACACATACTCAGACCAATGTTGTCTTTCATAGACATCATTCAAAATGACAAATTTTTAATTTAACTTCACAAAATTTTAAATTTCACTTTGTGTAAATCTAAACTCGCATTACAATTTTATAAGATATGATTGATGATGGACAATGAGAATGGGATGGCGATTTCGATGAAACGAAAAAACTGACATAAATTTTTTGGATCACAAATTCATAACTTTATGTAAACCTAAATTCACAATACAATTCTATAAGAGTTAATTGATGATGAACAATGAGATGGGGGCAAAGATTTTCGATGAAATGAACTAATGACATAGTATGAACATAAACACACAGTTATGAATGTTAAATCAATAAAACATTAGATCGAATATTAGTGGTTTCCTTAGCAGGGTTGCATATTCTCCTTTTGAGCTTCCTCCTTCGGCTCAATAGAGATAATATCCTAGATCTTTACTTTGCATGTACGCACTCTTATCTCGGAGTTTAAGTGCCCATGATCATGGAATTATCATCGGGTTAATTGACTTCTCCAAATAGATTTGTTGTCTCTTCTGGACTAAAACTGATGAACAAATCATTTGGGTCGTAAATGTTTCATTTATCATTTGTTCAATCGGATTTTGTTGATCTAATCAATTATATTGAAGTGAACTTCTCCATTCTATTGGGTCAAACTTTGAATGTATAAAAGCACAAGTCCAAGACAAAGTTAATATGCCCGTTGATATT